TCTAACAACTTTATGATAAAACTATCAAATTATGTTCCTTTTCTTAATTCTTGTGGGTAGATTAAGAAATATAAGTTGATATATAATCCTAATTAATCATACAAATATAAAAAAATTCTTGTGGTTAGATTTCATTATATCTCCTATGATTAATTACAACTAATGTTTTAATGTGATTCTTGAACTTAATATATAATTTTAATTAATTAAATATGTTGTGGCTATTCCCTAATTAATTAAAATTATATGAATCAACTAACAATAATTAATTCTTTATTAAGAGCTAAACATTTGCATGCAAATAAAATGAATAACAGTGCATTTTTTTTACTCAAAACGACATGTCGTTTTCACCAGCGCCCAGATGACAAGTCGTTTGACTCGTCTTCAACCTTCAGTCGGGTTATCTCGACCCGGTTTAGTCCCGCGGCTCCGAATGGGAAACCCGTCGGTTTTACAACCAAAATCAATGATTCAAATCACAGAAAGCTTAGAAATTTGATTTCAACATGATTTCCGGTTTTATTTTGGATTAACAACGTCAAACTTGAGAAGGCCGAGAAGGTGATCTATAGATTTAAAACACCGGGAAGTTAAACATGACAAGCTTCAGAGATTTAAAATCTATAGATCTAAAAATGTGAATACTTTGCATATGTAATTGAAATGAAAGTTTCTCTCTAAAAGTGGATGAGGAGCTAAGTTCAAGAAGGTGATGTTTAAATAAAACAAAAATAATTATAATAAGTTAAATAAAACAAAAAATAATTAGATATTTTATTTTAATTAATCATTTTAGATCATAAATTTCTAATCCCTTTATAAATATTTATTTATTTTTATTTTTTAAAATCATTGGCTAACAAGTAGAATAAAACCTTATTTACATTTATCTAACATCTAAAGTAAAATTTGAGTGTTAAATATATAAATACATAGATATTAGGTGGTATGTTTGTAAATGTCCCTTAAGGTATATAACACAAATAAAAATAATAAATCAAACAACGCAATGTTTTGTTTAATTTTATTGTCATTTTGGCGCCATCTATATATGCCTCTCTTGATTCTTCTGCATTTATAATCCCATTTGAATAGCACGTATTGCTTTTTGTCGACTGCCATCGTGCTGAATTCTTCTGCGGCAGACTCAATCCGAAGCTTCCATAGAGGTGACGGAAGAGAGGAGGCCGGATTCCGACGCACTGATATCGCCTGAGAAGTGGCCACTGCCGGCGAGGGTTTTGATACATGGATTTTGAATCCGGTACCAGCAATACGAAGGCGAAGCGAGTGGTTAGTTTTGCAGGCATTTTTTCTTTGAATTCATTCACTGTTTTTGGGGGAAACTGAGGTTTGTGGGTTCTTGAACCCATTTTGCTGGCGATTCCTGCGGGAGGGGATTCTTGCTGCGGATATTTATATGGTTTGTTTGGATTGAAAGATAGCTAGGGAAATGAAATCGCAACAGAGTTTCGGTTGATTACGAATCTGAATCAATTGATTTGAGCTTTTCAACTTTTTGGCGCTAGATAGACTCTAAACGTGAAGTAGCTAGTGAAGAAAATGTTTAAACTCATTGTTTCGTTAATGTTTAGCACGATTTGGTGCTATTACTTCTGCATTTATGTAATGAAATTATTTTGTTTGAGTCGGCATCCTTCAATTTTATATGTATATGGTTTTTTTGGATTGAAAGAAAGCTAGGGAAATGAAGTCGCAACAGAGTTTCGGTTGATTGCGAATCTGAATCAATTGATTTGAGCTTTTCAACTTTTTGGCGCTAGATAGACTCTAAACGTGAAGTAGCTAGGAAAGAAAATGATTAAACTCATTGTTTCGTTAATGTTTAGCACGATTTGGTGCTATTACTTCTGCATTTATGTAATGAATTTATTTTGTTTGAGTCGGCATCCTTCAATTTTTTGCTTCTCTATTGCTTTCATTTAAGGGGGGGAATTTTGATTTTGTTCGCAGAAAGTATCGATGACGACTTTTTGGTTGGCCTACCAGAGTTTGGGTGTTGTTTATGGCGATCTGAGCATTTCCCCTATTTTTGTTTATAATAATATTTTTTCGGGAAGAAGGAGACTTAGTGAAGATGATACTGAAATCCTTGGAGTTCTTTCTATGGTTTTCTGGACTCTTACTCTGATTGCTCTCTTGAAGTATATCGTTATTGTATTAGGAGCTGATGATAACGGCGAAGGTTCTGTTTCTCTTCTCTTTTACCCAGTTATTTTAAACATGTGACACTCTGATTTGGGGTTAAAATTTACAGAGAAAATAGATTCATTAAAGAAAAAAAACCCCATGTTTTCTCTTTGATTTGGAGAAGAAACTAAAACACCGGGAAGAAAGTGAAAAACCTTTTCTCTTATGTAGGGTTTAGGTTATGTTTTTTAAATTTTGAAAAGTTGAGTCTTAATAAGAACTAAGTTAGAAATTAATGATTAATAGTTAGAATGTGCTTTGAACTTGGGTCTCCAGCTTGGAGAGAAAATTCTCTGCCAACTTCTCCACAAGCCTTGCACCATTTAGGGTTTAATTTCCTTACTTGAACTGTTTGATGTTTTTGTTTCTTTTCTCAAACCAGTGGAGAATAGGTTGAAGAAGCGAATTGCTATAGTAAACTTCTCATAATTCTCAAAATTTCCTTGCTTAATAGAAGAATAAATGCCCAATTTCTTAACAATTATTCTTCCTGTGACGGTATATCACTAATATTATTATTTATTTATTTTCTTCCTCCTTTAGAGTATTTGATTCGGTCTCATATCTTATATGTGAAAAATATAATGAAATGTATACGAAACAATTCCAATCAAAAACATATTTTAACCCTAGGTTTATCTGTCTCATATTCCTTCCCCAGACTCCCAATGAAAAATTGAATGTATAACTTTCTTCACTCTAATATTGTCAATCAAAAAGAAAATAACTAAGTATTTTTTTTTCTCCCCTCAACTCCCAATCAGAGTGTTAAAAGTTGCATTCTTTGTGAAAAATTTGACTATTTTTGCAGGAGGGGTCTTTGCTTTGTACTCGAGATTGTGTCGGAGCTCAAAGCTTGGTCTTATCAATACATCCATTGCTGCTTGTAATCACTTGCCTGTATTTGAATTCCAAAAATCACCTGAAGAAAATAAGACTAGTTTGGTGATAAAAGGCTTTTTTGAGAAGCATCAAAGATCTCGAGTTGTTCTCTTTTTCATTGTACTATTGGGAACTGGCATGTTGATTGCTGATGGTGCCTTGACGCCTTCAATGTCAGGTATTATAATGTTTTCAGAAAAATTACTTAATTTGTTTGTTATTTATATTCTTAGATAGTCTTTTGCTAGTTTCCCATTGCACCCACCCACTTTCTCAACACAAACACACAAAAAGGGAAGATTGGATAACATATGTTATATGCTGATCAGGGCTATAACTGAGCCAGTGCACTCGACCAACAACTAAGAATACAACTAGGTTAATTTGTAAAAATTAATGTTTTGGGTGGTCTATATGTAATTATCCCTTGTTTAAATTAGTAAATAAACAAGTTTGAATGCTTTTTAAAAGGTCGGAAGTTAAATGAACTAAACATGAACATGATCTAACTTTTTATTTATGTTCATGAATAAGCTCATTTATTGTTCAACAAATTACTTGCTAAAAATTTTATTTTTAATTCAAAGATAACTTATATCATATATGAAATATCATTTGAATAAAATTTGATTTATTTTAACTTACATAATTTTAGATTTAATATTAATATATTATTATACCAGTATTATTTTAAGATTAATTATTAATTATATGTTTATTAATTAACCTAATCTCATAATTAATATATCATTATCCAACATATTCAATCAATCACACTTTTTAATAGTAATTAATTAATCATTATATAAATATATAATATTTATTCATTAATCATTCAATTCATATTAATTATATACATTATATATCCCTAATCTTTTTTCTCATCTTTGGATCACGGTTTGCTCAGCAGTCAGTAGTTTTAGATTATAGCCCGTTTTTCTGAAAGAGTG